TATATATATATATATATATATATATATAATTACTAGCTGATGCATTTAATAAAACATTTAATAAAATTTATTTTCATTTCCCTCCAAAATGAGTTACATTTTTTTAATTAATTACTCACTAATTATTAAAACTGTTACACCTTAATATATATTTTTATTATTTATTTTTTGGATCAGTTACTAAATTAATAATAAATTTGGTAGCAAAATATTCAAATGTGTAACGGCTAATGTTGAAACTTAAAATGATTGACACATTTAGAGTTGTAACCGCTATATTTGATTGCATTGTTGGAAGAAAAATATGATTGACAAATATATTTTTTTTTTCTAAAAGTCAGAAACACCAATAATTTTTTTTTATTTATGTTAATTTTCTTAATATATGCCACAAATATATAAATTGTTATTTTTTATTTACTTATATAAACGTTGCATGGTTAAAATAAAATTTAAATCTCAATTAATTTTAAATGATAAAAATAATCTAAGAAAAAGTAATGATTTTTATATGATAGAAGTACACATTTAATTATAATAAATACAAACAAAAACTTATTTTATATATGTGCAAATGCGCAGGATCAAATACTAATTTATTTTTAATTGACAGCTCATTTCAATGGAGGTGCGTGAGTGGATTTTAAATTTAAAAGTTTCCATTTTTCTTCAAATATTACAAACTAGTACAACACCCGTGTATTACACGGGAGCTTGTTAAAAAATTATTCTTAAATTTAAAATTAATGAGAAAACTATATTAAATTTAGTTTACTTTTTTACAAAAAAAAATATATATTACTATATATTTTAGAATGATATGTGTTACTTATGACTTACATGTGTTATATTATATTAGTTTTTATAACTTATATCATATAACTACTTAAAATATAAATATACTAGTTGATAAATAATTTTATTTTTCTAATTAATATTAGAAATAATTTTATTATTGTTATAAAGATAAATATAATTTATTTTTTTATACATACAATATGGATGTTAAATCGAAGCTCATAAAAAGAAGATTAATTTGATATATTACCGTTCGCCTATATTTTTAAAGCTCGACCGCAAGTGTACGGCTTCGCTCGTAGTATGTGGCAAGCAAGGTCGTATCCCAAGAGACCAAACAACCAATTAATCAAGTACTAGATTATGATAGTGTCAATTTTATTTA